TCATCTCATTATGCACCTAATCATAATCGTGACCAAAATGACTATGTTTCTAACAAAAAAAGACATAATAAAAGAGACGATAATATTACTGAAAGTAAAAAACATAAATCCTTAAGTTCACATAGTTCGTTTGATCATTCAACTTCGCAAAGGAATAAAGATGAAGAATATAAACAAATGGATTTAACAGATCATGGCACTGAACAACCGTATGAATATAAGTCACAATATGATATTAAAAACTTTTCTTTTAGTAAATATACAAACGAATTAAATAAAGTATTTACAGCCAATACAAACTTGATTCCTGATACAAATGACTTTTGGAAATTTGTTCATAAATATGAAATGATAGAAAAAAGAATGAATAATACAAATGAAATAGAAAGAGTCTCTGATTTGAATTCGCTTGGAGTACCAAAAATATATCATAAAACACATTGTATAAATTTCAAATTAAATTTAAGTTTTGGAGAATTATTTGCCAGAGTTCCTGAAACTAAAGCATTAACAAAAGGGCTATTATTGAAATTCAAATATATAATTAGTTTATATTTAGATTTTAAACAAAAAGAAAAATTTACTAAATTAAAAAAACTTAGAGAAACACAAGCAAATCTACCTGTTGCTCAATATAAAAATGAAATTATTGAAACAATTAAACAAGAAAGAGTAGTTATTATAGCTGGTGACACTGGTTGTGGAAAGTCAACTCAAGTGCCCCAATATTTATATTCTGCTGGTTTTAATAAAATTGGTAAGATTTTTTATTTATATATTTTATATTTTTATTAAATGTCATATCAAATAACTAATTGCTTCATTTTTACAGTTTGTACACAACCAAGAAGAATAGCATGCATATCTTTAGCAAAGCGTGTAGCTTTTGAAACATTAACTGAGAACTATAATGAAGTTGGTTATCAAATTCGCTTTGAAAAACAAAAAACTCAAGAAACAAAAATTACTTTTATTACAGAGGGTTTACTATTAAGACAAGTAAAAATTATGCTAATCTCAATGATAACATAATATATTTATAATATAACAAGAAAAAACAAAATATGTTATAGCAAATTAATAATTTTCTGATATACTCATAAATTAGAAATTTATTAAATCTGTAGGTATCAGGTGAATCAGGATTATTACCCTATGATGTTGTAGTATTGGATGAAGTACATGAACGTAATTTACATGGTGACTTCCTATTAGGTGTTATGAAATGTATTATACATCAAGAATCTAATATAAAGTTAATACTGATGTCTGCTACGATCAATATACAGTTGTTCAGTAATTACTTTGCAAAAGAGAATGCAAAAGTGATACAGGTTAAATAATATATATTTGTAACATAAAGAAATAATAATGCGCACTTATTATTTATTCATGTTATTTATTGGAATCATTTATTTAGGTTCCTGGAAGATTATATCCAATTCAATTATTATTCCGACCTATTACTATAGAAGATATGAGATATAAGAACAATAGATTTAATCCCAGTCCATATGTACAAATAATGCAAATGATTGATCACAAATATCCAGGTAAGTTTACACATTTTATCTATAAAACTTTATATGTTACAATAATGATTTAATTTGTTTTTAGCTGATGAAAAAGGTGATTTATTAATATTTCTAAGCGGAATGAAAGAAATTACTGCAGTTGTAGATGCTGCCAAGGAATATAGTACAAAAAAAAATAATTGGATTGTTTTACCATTACATAGCTCACTCTCTCTTGCTGACCAAGATAAAGTATAAGACTGGATAATATTTTAAATAAATTTTATAGTGTTAGCTAATGAAAACATACTAGAAAAAAATATTTTTTAGGTATTTGATTATGCTCCTGATGAAGTGAGAAAATGTATTGTATCTACAAATATTGCTGAAACCTCTATTACCATAGATGGAATTAGATTTGTAGTAGATAGCGGTAAAGTGAAAGAAATGAGTTATGATCCTTTATGTAAAATGGAACGCCTTAAAGAATTCTGGATCAGTAAAGCTAGTGCAGAACAAAGGAAAGGTCGTGCTGGTAGAACTGGACCTGGTGTATGTTATAGGTATGTTAATTAAAGTTTTCAGATAATATAATAATAAATATTTTATTATTATACTTCTAAGAATTTTTTTATCTATAGGCTTTATTCTGAAGAGGAATATACAGCTCTTGAAGAATATTCGACTCCTGAAATACAACGTGTACCTTTAGATTCTTTACTATTACAAATGATTGCTATGGGATTACCAGATGCAAGAAAGTTTCCATTTATAGAACCTCCACCATCACAAAGCATAGAAAACTCAATATTATCATTAAAGGAGCATGTAAGTAATTAGTTTATAAAGACATAGAATTCATCTTGTTTATTGATTATAAATTTAAATCAATTTTATCTATTATACACATAATATATTACCTAACATATTTTTCTTTTTCATTTTAGAGAGCGTTAACAAATGATGAAAAATTAACATCTATTGGAGTAACATTAGCACGTCTCCCAGTTGATATAAGAATAGGAAAAATGTTAATAATGGGTTCTATTTTCCATCAAGTTGAACCAGTATTATCACTTGCTGCTGCTTTAAGCATACAAACTCCTTTCACCAACAGAGCTTATAAAGACATAGAATGTGAGGTAAGAATTGCTAAATAATGTTTAATTTCATTACAGTTTTCCTTAATTATATTTAAAAATTGTTAAAGACATCTAGGAAAAAGTTAGAATCTGACCATGGTGATCCTATAACATTATTAAATGCATTTAGAGAATGGTTGGAAGTGAAACAACAAAGTATACACGAATCTAGAGGAAGCGGAAGTAACAGCAGAAAATGGTGTAGAAGAAGAGGCTTAGAGGAACAAAGATTTTATGAAATGATAAAATTACGTACACAATTTAAAGAATTACTTCAAGTTAGTTAAAATAATCATAAATATTTGACTTGTTTATGCTTACGTGATATTAAATATTAATTGATAAAACTATTCATGACAATATACAGGACTGTGGCCTATTAAAAGGTGTAGTCGAACCAAATTCTTCTATGACTAGTGCCGAGCGAGCAATACGACATGGTGAATTAAAACTTCTAAAATCACTTAAACAAACCTATAAAAAAAGTGCACCCAGAAAACGTAAACAATTGAAAATAGACACATTTGATATACAATTAGAAGATAATGATAATAATGATGATGAAATAGACATAAAAGATGTTGAATTTCGAATGAAAAATGACGCAACTCAAGTTCAAAATCTTTTAACAGCAGCTACTGCATGTAGTTATAAAGATCTAACAATGTTAAAATTAATACTTTGTAGTGGTTTATATCCACAATTTGCATGTGCTGATGAATTTAATTATTGCAAGGTAAAAAATATTATTTTCCATAAGTATAATAACTAATGCAGTTATATTATTATACTATATAAAAAAAAAAGTTAGAATTAAAAATATTTAATTTTTTTTTTTGCAAATTAAAAATTATATTATTTTTATATTCTTATTTATATTATAATTTTATAGTCTACAAGTGAGCAGCTGTTTCATACAAAAACTAAGCCATATGTTGCATTACATCCAATGAGTTTCTTTGGTAATTATCCACAAGTTCTGCAACTGGAGGAACATGATATAACATCAATACCAGGTTTTAAAAGCAAAACTCCTGTTAGTTCTAAACATCAATTATTAACATATTTGTAAGTATTTAAAAAATTTTTTTATACTATTGTTTTTAAACAGTACAAATATAAATTACGTAAATTATTTTATTTTCCTAATTATACATTGTGTATTACTACCAGATCTCTACTAGAAACTACAAAACCTTACTTAGTAAACACACTTAAAATGCCTGCTGCACAAACATTATTATTATTTGCACAAGAAATTGATACTAACGCTACGTTTTCAATGTAAGTCCATAAAAAATTATTTTATGATGATATCGATATATTTGTAAATTTATTACAAACTTAGAAGTGTATTTATTTTTAATTTTAGGATAGTATGCGATGCATGGCTACTATTAGAATTTCCTGTACCTGATACTGGTCAGACACTATTAATGAAATCTACTAAGTTACGTCACAAATGGGAATTTCTTTTAAATGAAAGACTAAAAGGTACAATTAAGAAAACCAGGAAGAATAACCAGTTTATTAATTAAAATCTTATTTTTAGATTCAGGAACTACAAATAATATATTTAATATTAGCAAGATAGAACATGAACTTACTCAAGAATTAATTGACTATATGCATACAACAGTTCCATATGTAATAAAGCGACTTTTACCTGCTGATTTAAAAGCAATTTATGTTGGCAATGGCAATAATTTTGTACATATTGATCCTAATCCTTTTAAAGTTGATTTTAAACCTATATGTAATTCAGTGAAAGGAGGAATATATTTAACTGATAATATTATATATAACTGGTAGGGAAAATTATACAAATTTGATTAATTATTTTTTTACAATTTAATAATATTTTTAATTTTTTAATGTAGTATGAAAGAAACTGATTGGAGTGACAAAATAGCTGTTGATATGTGTGAAACTACCTGGACTTGTCAGCAATGCAACGTAGAAGCTATCTTTAACAGTATAGAAAAACTCCAACATCAAAGTACTTGTATGCAGTCATCAGCAAAAGAAACTACTGATAAAGTTGAAAATATAAAGTCAAAACCTAATAGTCAGGCTTACAATTGTCCTGAATGTTCAAAAACTTTTCATCTTACACCTATTGAAATATTGAAACATAAAAGGCAACATATAAAGACAAATATATCGTGAACAATTTAATATGTTATTATTTAATTAAAACAGAATATCTAATACACTTCAGTACAATGGGCAATATTAAATTCATTTATAAATGCAGATGTAACAAATAACCAAAAATATACATTATATTATATATTTGTACATTTATATATATACACATACACATACATTTGAAGTTAAGTAATTATATAGTAATTATGTCCATGGCAAAAAATTTACAAACATAAAACATCCTATGATTGTATATCCTAAAAAATAAAATAATATAAGCTTATCTCTTAAAGTATATTTTTGCTTAAACGAAAATAACATCTTCCATTTAGAAATCAAGTTTTCTCCATTCTTGCATATTGAATCACTTAGATTCTCAAATTGTGGTACATAAGATAAAGATAATGCACAATACCAATATACAAGAGGACTAGCAGAACATAATAAACGTGTACTTACTTGAATATGTACAAAACAAATACAAAATACTGTTAAAAAAAGTCCATGTATTACAAACACAAACATCTCCGCTGGGTATTTCTTTTCTGATATATTTTTTTCATATTTTATATCTATAAGTCCTAAAGAAAAAAAGTGCATTCTGTGTTCTGAATAGAATTCTGTAATACATTTTATCATTATATATAATATTGGAAAAGCTAAAATAAAATTTGGAATCTGCTTTAATTTATAATAATTTAAGAAACTAACATTCCAGTATTTCTCTTGTATGTAAGAATAAGCTATAGGTATTTTTGCATGACACCATGTAGAAGAAGTCGCATTATATTGCAATACTAAATTATTTTTTGTAGCATAATTTACAATATGAGTTGGTAATATCGGCGCATTTAATGTTATTTTACAAAATATCACATAATTATATATTTGTAAAAGAATAAATGGAAGTAAAGTTAAAATCACTATAATCAATAATAGAAACATACTTTGTATAAATCTTTTTTTTATAACTAAATTACATAATTTTATTAAGGATATTTTGTCTTTAGAACTAATTTCTACTGTTAATGCATTAAACATATTTTTAAATCTAAAATATATCAAAAATCCGATATTTATAATGCCATTTGATCTTATAAGAGTAGATAATCCCAAAGGAAAAATTGTATATATATTATTTTGAACACTTTTCAACATGCTATAAAAAGTGAAATATGCAAACATTGATTCAGTGTATGCAGCAGAAAAAAATATACTAGCTGGACTTATGCAATACAATATTGCTGCTTTGTATGCTATATTAGTATTTTTCAGTACTATTTTACTAAGATCAAAAAAAATAGAAACTGATTTAATGAAACAGACATAATTAATTAATATTGCTGCAACGATTAAAGAGCTATGAACATTTAATACAAAAAATATTTTTCTTATTATTATTGCAGTAATTCGAATAGTTGCAGGATATAATGGATAAAAAGCAAGCATGTTTTCATATGTATATCCATATTTTGCTATATGTATAAAATATTCTCCATCCCATCTTATTAAACCACCAAATATAAATTTAATCATAATATCATAATTAGAAACATATTCATGAATATCATGAGGGCTTCTAAAAGCATCAGCATTGTGATCAGGACATATAATATTAAAAAGGAATTGTAAGATTAGTATTAATGCACGAGAAATTATAGCAAACCAAAAAATTTTCTTTTTCACTACATACATTGTTAACTGCCTATAATGGTCATATAGCTTAGATTAGTATTAAATATTTTACATGTTCACATATATAATATTTAGAAAGTTTTATTCTGAATTTACATTATATTCAAATTTCATGATCTCCTAAATATTTAAACTCTACACCAAAAAATATATACTAGGTAATTAATATCTTATAGTTACCTGCTTTCTTTTATCATATTCAAAAAGAATTAAAATACATAATATACGTAAATCGTTCTTTTTAATAGCCGTTAATGTTCCAGTTGCTTTTATGGATTTTATAAAACTATAACAGACAAAAATAAAACTGATTTTATAATTACACAAAATATTATATAGTATATAAAAGAGAAAACATATTTTTACTTTACATATTTTAATTTACTATTTAACATTAATTAATGCACAAAATCATGACACTATACTTAAACAAGAAGTAATATGTAAGTAGGAATATTTCATTATTATTGTAACGTAATACACATACAAAATTTGAAAATATATCATTTTAATATATTTATGTTCCTTAATTATTTATTTTTATGCAGCTAATGAAAAAAAAAAACCAAGCAATGACTATTTAATTTCTAATAGACAAAATTTAATGATTACTCACTGGATATTGGAAATTAAATGACTATAAATGTGAATTCATGTATCACAATCTAGGTTCAATTGAGTATGCAGGATACGATCACTAGTATAATAATATTGATCAGCCAGAAATTGGTGCAGTTAACACACCTCTTTTAAGAAGATATTCTGTAGCTTCTAAAGATGAAATATATAAACCTTCTGGCTTTAACAGACCAAATCCATTGAAAATAAATAAGGAATTATTAAGTAATTGGATCTGAATCTGTAAGGAAAAGAAATGTATTACAAGTATTTTTTGGTATGTGAATAAATCTTTCAACAACCATACGTATATTAATAAACTTTAATTAAATACAAATATGAATATGATTACTAATTAATATATAAATCGTATATTCAATTATTTAAAATTATATATTTACACACACACATGTAGATCAACAAGTTGTTGAAGAAATATTAGAGGTTGTTAAAAAATATTAGAAATATTAAAAAACCAGTATGTCTTTCAGAATATTTTAATATAAATATTACAACATTCTAAGATAAAACTAATCATACTGAAATGTCTCATACATTTCAGTATGATAACATACTCACCATAATGTGTACTTCGTACACGTTATGATAAATCTACAGGAAATCCTCCAAATAATCTACATCAACAGATTTAATTATTTCAAACTTTTTTTTAAATAATAAACAATTATAATACTGATAATTTTTTAAATGTTATTGTATTTATACAATATTCTATTATTCCATAGCTCAATGAAATAACAATATATTGATGGAAGATTAATTTATGATACTTCTAAGGCATGATCTAATATTTTAAGGATATATTCTAATGGAACTATTGATAAAAATGGTTTGCTTGCATCATCAAGTTCATATAAATATCCAGAAAATAACATAATTAGATTACCAATAACAATCAAACCACTTCCAATCAATCATAATAAATATATTTCTCAACATTGTACAAAGAAAATTGATAGATACTTTAATAAGTATAACTTCACATATTATGAAAATACTCAAATTTTCATTCCACAAACTTTCTTAGCAATTTCAGCTATATGATGATCTTTTGGGGTACATTCATATTCAATTGATTCTGAATAAGGCATTGGAACGTCAATTCCAGTACAACGAATTGCTGGTGCATCTAGTTCAAAGAAGACAGGATTTTCCATTATAGTTGCAACAATTTCTGAACCTACTCCACACCTAGGCCAACCTAATTCAACTGTCATTAATTTGTGTGTTTTACTGATTGATTTAAAAATCATCTCCCAATCAAGAGGTCTGAGAGAACGTAGATTAATAACTTCAGCATCAATTCCCTGTCCTGCTAAAATTTCGGCTGCTTGTATAGTATATACTGTTGCTTGACCATGAGTAATTAATGTAATATGTTTCCCAGATTTTTCAATTTTTGCTTTACCAATAGGTATAACAAAATCTTTGTCCATAGCTTGATCCGATAGAGGAAATTCAAAATTATAAAGAAGTTCACTTTCCAAGATTAAGACAGGATCAGGATCCCTTACAGCAGCTTTTAAACTACCTCTATAATCTTCACAACTTGTAGGAGACATAACTTTTAAGCCAGGAGTACTCATATACCAAGCTGCAAAACACTGTGAATGTTGAGCTGCCAATCCTTTAGCATTACCATTTGGACCACGAAATACTATAGATACAGGATATCTTCCTGCAGTCATATAACAATTTTTAGCAGCTGCATTTATCATTCGATCGATAGCTTGCATTGAAAAATTGAATGTCATGAATTCACAAATTGGTCTTAATCCTGCTATTGCAGCTCCAACAGCTATACCACAGAAACCTGCCTCAGATATTGGTGTATCAATCAATCTCTTATCTCCATACTTTTTCCAAAGCCCTCTAGTTATTTTATATGCTCCATCAAATTGTGCTACTTCTTCTCCGATAATAAATACTTTTTCATCTCGTGCTAATTCTTCATCAAGAGCCAAATTTAACGCATCTCTTACAGTCATTTTAGTAACAGATCTAGAAGATCCTTTTTTTAAGAAATATGTCACTGATAGTAATGATCGTCTCAAAAAATAAATAGTTAACATTGTAGAAATATTTAATAATTTATATGCATAAATCTTTATTCCAGAATTAGGAAATCCAAGGGGGAATGAAAATCCGTTTCTTTTGACATTTGAAATAATTTGCTTTATATGACACAATCACATAGCCAGCTTTATAAAAAGTAAACATAAAAAGTGAACAGGTGAAAAAATTTACAATGAAACTCATAAATAAATAATTGCAACACAACAGTATATAATTACCAATGAATGGTTATCCGAGTGGATAGATGAAAAACTTTCAGAATACAAAGGAATAAAAATATTAAGGATTAGTGTTAGATAATAATACAAAAGTATATATTACAAAAACAAAATAATTACCGTATATATTTAGAAATATAAGGATAAAATCTTTCTAAAATATTATTATATATTTATTATAGGTTATAATTCTAATATTGATCCAAAAATAGATGTTTTTTCAAACAGCTGCCTTTCGTTATAGTCACACTTTAGTATGTTGATAGGTTCAAAAAATTGTATATATTAACTATAAAAAGAATTCAAAAATATAATAACTGACTAATATTCAAAAAAAATATTAAAATATTTCATTCATGGCCTACTTAAAAAAAAAATTGAAATTCTACTTAAAAAGATAAATTATGATATTTAATTTTATGAATATATCTTTTTATATGCATATATAACTAAGAGATTTTTATACAATTATATATTAAAAGAACGAAAAAAAGGTACAATTAATTACATGTATTATCCATACATTAAACATATAAACTGTATTAATTACACATTTGCATCAAAATGGATATTTATTTACGAAATTATACAAGAAATAATTGTAAATTAGAACTTAATGCACTAGCTATTATTGAATAAGAATAGAATATGCAACAATTATTAGATATCACAAGTATTATTATAAAAAAGCAATTTTGATTAGAAATATGTTCTTATATTAAAATTTTTTTCTAGAATGGTTTATTCCAAAACCAATTCAAATTAGATGATAGGTTAAATATAGATAAATTAATAATGAGAATGGCTATCCAATTAAGTGAAAAAGAAGATCATAAGATGATAGAAGATTTACGAAGTAATTTATTTGGATATCTCTTAAATTATCAAGAAGAGATTTAATGGCTCTTAACATACAGAGATTTACACATATATGAGAACATCACTTTCAAAGAATATATAACAAGTCTCTTTACTAGTTTGATGGCAATCACACATTTTGAAAGACCAAAATTTCCTCAATTATTTCAATCAATTGAACAATTGCATCCCAATGTAAGTAGAATAAGCAAATTTTCAAATTATTAAATTATTAAAATTATCTTATCATATTATATAGTATGTGAAATATGTTCTTATAGTCTTTATAAAATTTTTGTCTATTTCAAGCTAATAAAACTGTATTTAGTTGCAGTTCACCATCAGTTGTCCATTCAATAGATATTGCTTGTAAAGCACTTAATTTAAGAAAATACAATAACACTTTGTTTCAACATAAATTTAAACGTTTTTAAATCTTATTAGTATATATATATACAGAGGAGTTTTATTATGATATAAATGTATATAAATTATCAAATGATAAATGTAAAATGTATAGCTTGTCTTCCTACCTAATTTATATAATATAAATACAATCTATAAAATCGTATTTCATTAAAAATAAATATATGTTATTGTATGAAAATTACCTGATAAAGGAAGTAAACAAATATCAGTAGCCATAGATGTGATTATTAAATGTTCTCGACTTGTCCAAAACCTTTGATATAACTAATCATTGATAATCATTTATACATTTATGTAATATACATAAATATTTTCACTTTAATCAAACTAATATGTAGGATTAATAAGTACGTGGAGAATTAACTACTTGTGCTGTGCACGTTTCTATAAAATCTTCGTTCTCTCGTATCTAAGATTGTACTCGTATGTCTAAGACTTACGCTAAAACGACGCCTTTCTGGCTTTTGCTGCGCCCTCTACCTCCGATGCTGAAATTAATATTAAAAAATTAAATGAAAATAACTGCCATCTCTGACTGTACTAACAATGAATTGATATGGATATTATTAAAGTATACATCGTCGATAAATGTAATTTCTGCTACTGTCTGAGAAAACATTGAATAAGTTAAGAATAGAAGGTATTTTGAATGGCTCTGTTTTAATCTGTATAGGTTTACAAAACACAAATCTATACATTTGCTTATACAGTGTAATGGATATTGCTAATCCAACTCCACAAGATCTTCAAAGAAAATTGTATTTTTTGGTTGAACAACTTCAGCATATGGCAGGAGAACTTCCACCGAAATATCAAATGAGACTTCCTTATGAATTATTGTCTGCTTTGGCAAATTCCCTACTAAATGATACCATCTTCGAAATTGTCAAAGGTTTAATGGAAATACAGCATGTTACGGAAAAACATCTTTTTCAACAAAGACTGCAACTGCTAAATCAACAGAAAATTGAAGTTCAAGAAACATTGTCAAACGTAATAACGGATGAGGAAAGAATTGAAATAAAAACTGCTCTATATAAAAAACACAAAGAAGAATTAAAACAAACTGATATGAAACTAGTATTACAATTGGACCAAAAAGTATCAGATCAACAAAGTATATTAGAAAAAGCTGGTGTACCTGGGTTTTATGTAACTAATAATCCTATTGAAATTCAAGTACAAATGAGGTTATGTGATTTTATAATAAGGTTAAGTAAAATGGAAGTACCTAGTTAATTTCAAATGTTAAATATTATTATTTTCTTAAATATATTGAACTTAAATCACTAACATATTTTATATGAAATTGTATAAAATAATAAAATCATTTTGTAACAAGATTTTTTATATATAGTTCATAAAAATATATTTTTAGTTTTTATATAAATAAAAAATGAGTATTTCTTTAATTACAAATAGTATAAATTTTATCTCATTCTTATTAATTAGGATATTATCTCAACTCGTATAAATAAATGTAAAAAAATCAAAAAATTATGAGATTTAAAATTCCCAAGAATCCATCCATCGTAAAGAATGCATAGAGCTTTCAGGATCTGATGCAGAAGGTCCCTCCATTCCATAAGCCAATGGAGAAAACAAATAAAAACTATAAATGCATATTATATTATTCAATATATAAGAAATCATGTATATATAATCACAATTAAATATGTTTACCTGTATATTACAACAGAAATTACTGTGCCCATTATAATATGATAAATAGTATTTCCCATTTTGCTAGGTAGTAATATTTGTAAACTTTCAACAATGTAATTTAGAGTTACACCAGTTAACATTGAGCTATATAGCAATGCTGGAAAATAATGATGAAAATATAATACTCTACTCATAGCCCAAAATGGTATATAATGTAACATCCATCCAATGAAAAGCCATTTTCCAGCTTCCATTATTTTTTGTCTTTGCTCAAGTGTTAAAGGATTCTCAATGCAACCTCTCTGCTCTCGTATGCATGCATGTATGTATAACAGAACAAACATTATAAGGAATATTATATTTCCCCACCATATAACAGGATTACCAAGTAAATAAACCCTTTGATTATTGCCAGAAAAAAATTGACCCTAAAATCGATATTCTATTTAGCTTTTATCAATTTCTTAATTTTTGTAATACGAACTTGTAATAATAAATACTCTATAATTAATAGGCCATTGCCAAGGTTGGGAAGATACTTCTCCTTCTTTGACTTTGAGATCTGAATTTCCTTGCAACATAACAGCATGTGATTCCAAAAATCTATCAAGAAATCCAGGAGCATAAACTTGGAAACTTACATTGGGTACTGTAAATGATATTTTTAATTATTACAATTGCATTTAGTAATAAGGATTTTCTTAAAAATAGAATATCAAAATAAAATGTTATCAAATTAAAATAATATCAAATACTTACATTTTGCATAATTATTATCTTCTATGTTCCATAATGCATTTTTGTCTCTAATGTTTGGATTACATGAAACCTCTTGTTGACTATAACCCCTGAAATAAAATTTTAATAAATAATATGTTTTTATAGTAATTCTTTTTTCCTGTATACTAACTTCTTTTCCCTGGATACTAACCATTTTGGTAATGTTTTTCCACTACATGTTAATACACAATGATGAAGATAGTGAACAAATTTTAACTTACTTGTAACCGTTTCAACTATATCACCATCTTTACCATTTTTTATTAATATTTTCCAAACATCATTAGCATCTCCTGTACCATTCTAGAAGATAAATAAAAAATAAATAAATATTTAATAATTTTTACATAAAATGCTTACTTCGCCATATCCTGTAACTTGATAATGCTTTTTAGAAATTGGTGCTATTTCTTTATGAGAATGTAAATTCCGCCTTGTAATAACGTGTTCCAAACGTATAAGATCTCCATGCTTTACCAATACTGGTTCAGATGGTATGTCATCAGTATCAAATTTTTTTATCAACCAAAGATTATTATCATCTTTATGAGAATAAGTCGTAATCTAAAAAATAAAAGAATTGTTTTATATCAAAATTCAAGTTTGTATTCTAACAAAGTTTATATAAAAACCTGTTGCTGTCTGGCACCAATTCCTTCAGGATATAAATGCCAATGAGAATGCAAATATCCACCACCTGTACGATGGTTTTTTAACGTAATAGTAGCACCATATGCTAATTGCCGTGGCATAGTTGCATTATACAAAGAATTTCCTTTTAGTAATGATTGAAATTCAGAACTATAGAATCCATCTCCACTTCCACTAAATCAAAGATATACATTTTATAAATAATTAATTTTTGTATTATCTTAACAATAAAGTTTAAGATCTCACCTTTTATTCAAAATGTGAAGATGAATGTAGAAAAATAACATGTAAAGTAACACTGGTAACACAATAAGACAACAGAATCTTGCTATTAAATGTTTGCCCACATAAGACTACAACAAAAAATATTTTACATTCTATTAAATGTAAGAACCCAATTATGGGCTAACATAGCCAAGGTAGCATACTGCACATTTATTTTAATCCAAGTCACCAATAGAAAAAACTCCATATATTCTTATTTTAAAATAAAGGAAATAATGTGCTTACAATAGGTTTTGTTAAGTCTCCTAATTCTCGCCACAGTTCAAATATAGTATAAAGACCAACAAGCAGCACAACAAACAAACCAACGAATTTTACACTAATTGTACATGCAAGAGATACGCCTGTAAATGTTAGCCAACTCCACCAAGAAGGTGTAAATGGCTTATGTCGAAGAGAACCAATACGAATCATTCCCCAAGTTGCACACATCATAAAACATAACAATATTGGATCCAAAAGGATATACTGATTTAAAGTCAATAGACCAACATCTAAAATAAAATAGACTATCATAACTAAAAAATAACATTTGGTATTATGAATTGAAATTAGACTTTACCAAACAGAATAAATACTGCAGAAAGCGTAGCCGCATGAGTAGATTTTGTTAAATCCCATACTGTGAGAAATGATAAAGGTACTGTAGCAGCACCTAATAATGTACAAAACTAAAAGAAAAATATATACTTTCAAATATTAAATTTGTATTATCATTAAAAATTTTTATTTATTTATTCCATTTTTAGTAAATAAATATATTTACTATTCTCATTCCAGCATATTTGACATCTTCATATTTATCACCTGGCTTTTCAAAGGCAAATGTACCATCATAACCAGTTAAATATCCAGATAGTGCGATAAGCATCTAGAATAAAGTATAAAGATTCCAATATATAACATTTATGATTATTCAGAAATATTTTTAAAATTCATGAAAATAAATTTGGAAAACTACTTTTCCAAGAGGAGGATGTACATCAAAGAAAAATGTCCTATTTATATACCAGCTTCCCATTTTACCAAAATGTGTTTCATCCCAGCTATAAAACAACATTATTACACGCATTATGGATTATAAATAAATATTAAAAAAATAAATAGACATGAGCATTTTTCTTTTTTTACCAGACATGTTGTGGTTCTGTAACTTTGTAAAATCTAGTTCCAATTGTAAGAATTAAAATAATTCCAAATAATAGCCACCAATTTCTACAAATAAATAAATAGATAATTTAAAATTGTATAGTTAAAAATGATTAGTAGATTTGTTTATATACCGATCTTTTTCATATTGTATATTTCCATTTGTAGATGGTAAACATTTCAATTTCTGAATATTTTCTTCGACAACAGGTTTCATTTTATACTATTTAGTATAATTTTACTGTATAATTTTCTATTAAGGTTATTCACCATCTGTCGCTCATAGTGTATGCGACTTCAGCGACAGGAATGGACAAAATATGAACTAAAAACGTAATAAAGAAACACTGTCCTCATTATGCGACTATTGTGTAAGTTTATATAGATTATAACCCTCTCAGGATACTTAACAATCGAATTAGTATGTGAAAGAAATTTTTATATGTAATAAACTGCATATACATATTTAATTTCAAAACATATATAATAATGAATACAATAAATGATAAAATAATCTGTCTATATCTCCATTGGGATAAATAGACAATAGAGAAAAATAACACACGGACATATTTGTCGACAGTGGGAAAGAAAATTTGGTTACCAACTCATGATAAAGTAAATTTCTATGCACCAATTTTATTGGTGTTTACTTGCATAAGTACATTACGCCTATAATTAGTGCAAAAGGAAAATACATATATATTATATATAATGAAATTATATATATATCAATAAAAAAATATATTGCATATCTGCCTGCATATAATTTCAAAAAAGATATAATAATGAATACATTAAATAACGAAATAATCCATCCATATCTTTATTGACACAATAAATGAATAATATGGAAAGATAAAAACAATTATCATAAGACAGTAAATTTTGATTAAATTTAGCAGTCATTAGCTCGATATTACTTGCGTCATTTACACTTATATATCGCAAGTAATATCAATCCAGGTCTCTATCGCTTGAATATTGTAGCATACAGAGACCTGCAAGTTAAAATTCTATTTTCTAATGCCAAATATTTTAGAATAACAATAATTAATATTATAATTTCGAAAAAAAAAAACAAAATCAATCCTGGAATGAATCAAAACTTTTTTTTTAATCAATCTAGAGTAGACAAAAAATTATGTATCCGTTTAATATCGACCTACTTACTTGATAAACACAATGTGATAGAGCACTTTAATCATTTTTTATGAAACTCCATTCCTAAACAAACCCAGACATACATATTTTGATCTGCATCATATTGAAATTGAAAATAAAACGTCGTACTATACACACAGCCTATAAACATTATATAAAGATTACATATCTTATTAAATATTATTTGAAAATGAAAATATATAATATTATAAAGATATCGCCTTATTATCTTATATATTCTATATATAATTTCTTCAAGTGATGTAAACAGCATAACTACCTGTGTATATAAAATATCTAAACCATTTTGTAATTAAACAAAAAGGAACAAAATAATATACAAATTTCATAAAACATATCAGCAACATATATAACAGTGAACATAAAACATCTGAACCACCTTATAATTAGACAAAAAACAATCAAAACAATATGCGAATTTCATATAATAAATAAGCGAACATAAGAAATTTTTAACTTTATTACTTTCTAAAAATAATATATGATTTCCAATTAAATATATAAAATAATTATTTCACACTCATATATATATACACACACATACTATAATTCACATATGAAAACACAATGACGATAACACTGTT